GCTGTATATATTTTACACTTTATAATTCTTTCTCCAGTGATCTTTCTGGTGTCAACCATTCAAAGAAATTTGGGGGTGTGGGGGGGGAAGCATCATGACAGAAGCCTTCCAAATAGATTTTTCAGATTTGGAAATATGGATTCTGATGCCTGGAAAGGCATCAGAATCATGGAAAGATACTTAACAGTGAATTAAACAGTTTACTGAACCATAACATTTTAATCTGTGACAGTAAATACATCATGCCAAGGACACTTTCAAATATCAAGGACACTTTCAAACAACATGAGAACGAGGTAGAAAAATGGAAGGAACTTTCACTGTAAAGCACTTCGGTAACTGCAGATTCTGGAGTTCCTGAATCAAGCCTGAAGGTTAAATGTCTCTAACCCCACCTTCTTAAACTTAGTGAACTAAGGAGTAGCATGCCAAAGATTCTGCCAAATGTTATCCTGTCTCTTAAGATTTAAGGATGTTTTACCTCTCTTTGCTTATATAACCCTTCTTCCTTATTTGTGCCAAGGTAGAGTAATCTCCCTTGGCCTTTACAACTGTTTCAAGTGAATTGGAGTTGACATAAAAACAACATTATGAAGACTTGGCCAAAAACAAAATATTTATGCCATGGTTGGGTATAATGAACAAAGGCACCAAGACTAGAAATGGTAATCTTATTTCAAACGTAATGCAAGTTTTTGCCAATCAGTTGTCCTCCAAGGGAGCAATATTGTGAAATGCATATAAATTAAAAAATGCTAAAAATGTTACTGGATTAATGAATTCATGAAAGAATAGAAAAAGAAAAAAAGATGGAGGAAAAAATGTTATCTTTTGTCTGGGTTTCGATCTCTTCCTAAATTTATTGGTTTGGGATGTTATTAAAAAAAAACCTTCTACCAGTAAGAGCATTTCCGCCACAGAATCAGCTGCTTAGAGATGTTGGACTGTTCTTCAGTGGATGCGTTCAAGTAGAGGTTTGTCTGCCATCAGCCTGGTATGTTTTAATTTGGATTATTGTACCAAACAAGGGGATGGGCTTAATGGTCTATTTGGCTTTTTCCAACTCTATGATTCTAGCACATTCTAAAGCTTGCATCCTATGTTTCTGAGGCATCAAGGACTTTTTGTTCCATTTTTTTTCTCGCAGTATGTACTAAAATTATTATTTATTTTTTCAGGCAAAATATGTAGTGTATAAATAAACCTAGTAATCCACTAGGAGACTGTCTAAGCCAGGGATGTCAAACTCAAGGCCTGTGGGCCGGATCCAGCCTGCAGGGTGCTTAGATATGCCCTGCGGAGCCACCCTGGAAACAGTGAAGGACTGACCTGTGGTGCCTCTGCCAGCAAAAATGGAGCTTGCAAAACATAGTCACGGAACCAGTAGTAACACGGGTTGAATCCCACCACTGGATAGGTAGTTACTGATTTAAAGAATCATTTCTACAAAGATAGAAATATACTGAAACTCCGTACAGTATATAAAAATTAAGGCAGTTTAGAAGATATTCCTTACTTACAAGAACTTCTAGTACTAGAATTTGAAATTAGATCAGTATTCTCGATCATTGTGAAGTTGGAAGGCTATAGGAATTGATGGGTTTGTTTAAAAGCCACCAGACCCTGGGCAGCTTACAACTCAACCAAGGGAATTTGAAGCATATTTACAGATATATGGCAAGCAACAGAAAAGAATTATTAGTTCTAATGAAGCTATCCCAGTAAATATAAAGAATGTCAGAGTGAGCCATAGATTGGATGAGATGTACTGTACATACCATTTACCAGAGAACGACTTAACAGATTGCACAAGTTGTCATACAATATACTTAATTTCATGTGCTAAGAAAATAATGCTTGCTGTTGCATCATCCAATGCAGATTTAGAACCCTACATGGAGAGGGAGATGCCAGGTGTTTGAGCTAGTTTTAGAAAAGGCCAAACAAAGAACATGAGACATTATTGCTGATGCATACTGGATAATTGAGAAAGCCAAAGAATACCATAAAGAAGCCGACATATACTTCATTATAGAAAAGCCTCTGATTGTGCAATCATGTCAAATTTTGGAGTGTCTTTAGGAAAATGGAAATCGAAGAACATCCTGTTCTCATGTGAAGGCTATGCACAGAACAGGAAGCCACAGTCTAGACAGAACATGGCCAATTCCAGGTTGGCAAAGGAGTAAGACAAGGTTATATCCTCTCCCTTATTTATTCAACTTACACACCAAATATATGTTAAGGAAACCTCAATGGATTGGAAGTAAGTACGGTTTTAAAATTAGAGCAAGAAATATCGATTACTTGCACTTTGCTGGTGATAATATTCTGATGAGAATAAAAATGCAAATAATCTGCAAACTAATAATGAAAGTCAAGGAGCATAGTTAAATAATGAGACTAAGTAAAGATTTAACTAATGACAGCAGGCTAGGTAAAATTGACAGTGCAGATAGTGAATGGTGGATAGCTTTTGCCTTTTAGGAACCAGCAATCATGAAATACATCACAGATTGGAATATGGTAAAATAGCAAGGAAAACTGGTAAAGATGCCAGCATGTGTCTATACTTATAAAAATCAGAATCGTGTCTTTCTCTGTGACTATGGATGAAAAGCTGGACTTTGAAGAAGAAATCCCAAGATTTAGATAAACTAGAACATTGGAGAAACATCTTACCAAATAACAAAAAACATTTCTGTTTTGGGACAAAAAACCCCAAGTGAAGTGGCCCCTGAAGTCATCACCCTGATTTAAAGAAGACTCTATTAGTTACAGTGAAAAATTCCAGTGGAAACCCACTCAACTACAAAGCTTTTATAAACATTAACATAATCCTCGTTTAATAAAGCAACACAAATCATGTAAATCTATCACGTCACTTCCAGAAAACCCCAACCAAACCTACATGGAAAAAGAACATCACATTTTTTTCTTCTAAAATGCAAGGAATCTAGGATGGCACCCAAAGTATTCACTTTATGTTTGGATTTTTTCACTCACATTTCTAGTAAGTCATTTTATTGAATATTCCTAATGTAGATTTTAAAATGACAAACTGAGTTACACATATACAAGTAATCCTCAATTTACAACAGTTCATTTAGTTCTAACCGTAGAACTCCACTGAAAAGTGACATGACCATTTTTCACACTTATGACCATTGCAGCATCCTCATAGTCACATGATCAAAATTCAGAGCTTGGCAATCGACTCATATTTATGATGGTTGCAGTGTCCAGGGGTCACGTCACCACCTTTTTTCAAAACCACCTGGCAAACAAAGCCAATGGGGAAGCCAGATTCACTGAACAACCGTGTTACCAATTTAACAACTGCAGTGATTCGCTTAACAACTGTGGCAAGAAAGGTCGTAAAATGATGTAAGGTCCCAGAAGCTTTCCCAAGCGAAAGAGTGAGACTCGAGACAAGGCTTGCAAAATAACAGCTTTTTTATTCTTTGGCCAAAGCAAAAAGTCTGGGTGAATACTATGTCCAAAACATACAGACAAAACGCATGTTAAGGAATAGCCACACCCTGCGAGAGTGGCTCAGAGTATTATATACATTTTATGCTGATAGAAACTAAGTTTATCCAATCAGACACAAAGATTTATGATTAATGTGGGCAATGTCTTACCCATGCCCTCCCCTTCTTTATCCATGGAGCGTTCTTTCATATGGACGTGCTCTGTCCATACTTTGTTATTTTACATGGTATCCCTTGTCCTTGTGTGTTGGTGCTCCTGGGCAGCCCCCTCCCCTTATCTGTGGAGCAGGATGTTCCTGGGAATTGTCTCCAAGGGTGTGTCTAGCTCTGAAATAAATTGCAGAGGCGAGAAACCAGATAGAAAAGGACACAATTCTCTTACAGAATGATTTTTTTTATTTATTTTATTTTGTCAAGCGATTATTAGATAATAGGTATAAGTATAAACATGGTTATGAATACATGAAATGGATAGAATAAGAAAAAAAAATAGGACAGGGACGGTAGGCACGTTGGTGCACTTATGCAAACAAATGATTTCCATCCTTAGCAAAATAGTACAAGCAACTTTAACAGATGCAAAGAGCAACGGTTAGATTGATTCATGTCACAATGTCCTTTCAGTGGGACAAAATTCACTCGACCACTACCTCGCTTATTAACCACAGAAACGTTGGGGATCAATTGTGGTCGTAGGTCGAGAACCACCTGTACTCAGACTACCTTTTCTTTTTTCTCCTGACCAGCCTAGACTTCCCACCTGAACCGGCCGCTTTTCAAGAAGCCAAGGACCAGAGGTGGTATTCAGCAGGTTCTGACCAGTTCTGGAGAACCGGTGGCAGAAATTTTGAGTATTTCAGAGAACTGGCAAAGCCCACCTCTGACTGGCCCTGCTCCCACCTCTTCTCTGCCTCCCATGGAGTCCCAGCTAATTGGCTGGGTCTTCTTTGGTTGCCCTGCACAGGAGAATGGAGCTGGAAAGTAGGTTAGTGGAGTGAAGAAAGAATGGGGATTTTACAGTATCCTTCCCCTGCCACATCCACCAAGCCAGACCCACAGAACTGGTAGTAAAAAAAAATTTGAATCCCACCACTGCCAAGGAAGGACTACAAATGCCATCACTCCCCGCCCCACAAGATGCTACTGGATGATGGTCCCAAGCCAGTTCAAGAGAGAAGCGAGCCGTCCGCGTTGTATTTCTCCTTTGCCCATCAACCGTCCCCACGGCAGCATTGCTTTAAACTAGTTAATCCTTATAAATGAATGGTCGTGGAAATGTGGCTTCCCCCTCCCCGCCCCCGTTACGGAAAAGACACCGAGCGACCGTTAACACGCAAGCCCGAAATAACCGCTCTTCCCCCTCCCACTTGTTTCGCTTTCGGCGCGTGGCCCGAAGGCGTGGCCGACGACGCCCCGCCCTCTATGAGCAAGCTACCGTATTCCTTGCCCTTTGGCCGCGGGAGGCACCGCCCTCCTGGCGGCCGGACCAATCAGCGAGCGCCCTGTTGGCCAAGCCGGGTTCCATGCAGCAGGGAGTCCAAGATGGTGGCGCTCGGGGCTGGGAGGGACGGCTCGGCGGCGGTGGTGACCGCGAGGAAGCTCTTGGTCGCCGCGTGTCTGTGCTTCAGCAGCCGCTTCCTCCCCTCGGCAGACGCCACAGGGCAGGCGGAGAGCGACGGCAGTCCCAGTGCGGCGGGGCCTCACCGGCGGTTCGAATACAAGTACAGTTTTAAGGGACCGCACTTGGTGCAGCCGGACGGATCGGTGCCCTTCTGGGTATTTACGGGCAGTAAGTAGCCGTCGTTCCTGATCTGGGGATCTATTCTGAGGGATCAGCGATGACCCTTGGGAAGGGCCTCTGGGCATACACAGAGTGCAGTTGGTTGGCGGCTCAGCTTGTGGGGCTCGTGGTTGTCTTACAAATCAAGGAAGAGATTTCTCTATAGTCTTAATAGGAACATATCAAAACGATTTAGGGGAGTGTTTAAAAAAAATCGATTTTTCTTGCATCGCCGTCTTCTCTCCAAAGGTAACATCCAGCCTTTGTCGGCTGCCGCCTCATCTTTCTTTAATGCGAATGGGTGTAAAGGAATGGACATTTTCGTTTTTCAATCCCAGAGATGGGTTGGGTTGAGAGAGTGACTGGCCCAAAGCTACAAAGTTATCTGTGTGGGTTGAAAGAATTATAAAGTATTCTTTCACAACTTGCCCTTTAGAGATAAATATTGCAAAGAATCCATCAAAGTGTTTCTTAATGGGAGTGAACCCCATTAATCACTCTTGAACCATTAGCACAGACATATTGCCTTCTCCTGTGCAGATTCATCTTATAAATCCCTAGAAATTGGTAATAGAAAAGCAATTACTTGATCCACAATTTATCTACCTGGCAAAAGCCAAAGTTTCTCTTCTTGATGAATCCCAAAGGGGCTTTTTCAAGAGACAACTGGACTTTTCTTGAGACAGCTTGGTGACCTGGATGACTGGGAATCTCCATAAGGCATTTAGCTCTACTTGATGAGGATATCTGGAAAAGAAAACCAGTTTGCTGTAGTAGTTAAGGTGCTGGCCTAAAACTCAAGAGACTGAGTTCTAGTCGCACCTTAGGCACAAAAGTCAGGTGGGTGGCTTTGGACCAGTCTAACTCTCTCAACCCAACCTAACACTCAGGATTGTTGTTCTGGTGAAAATAGGAGTAAGGAGGAGTATTAGGAATCTTTGTCACCCTGAATTGTTTATAAAAATAATAAAGGCAACATGTACATAATAAATTTGATGCTCTGAGTAGGTTAGCATTGGTCCACATTGCCAATGTTTTGGAGCAACCTAATACAATCACCAGGGTAAGTAGGATACAAAATGTTATCAAGTTCCTGGGCAAATGTACTCATTGAAATCAAACCCAGATTGACCATATTACTGTATACCAGTGTTTTCCATATTTGGCTATTTTAAAATGTATGCACATCAACTCCCAGAATTTCCCTGACTAGGGAAATCCATGCATCTTTTGAAAAACACTAGCCTATAAAAAAATAACACTGTTTGCAACATATGATATAGTGAGCATATGATTACTGTTCAAGTGATCATATACTCACCATATCATATGTAGCAAGATTTTTTTAATAGTATCTTGAAGATTCCATGAAGTCTCATGTTGGATGAGTGGAATGAGAATTCTCAAATAATCTTATCTCTTCTATACTAATAAATACTTTCCATTACTCTCAAAATCTGCAAGTAGTCCCCTTCTTCCTGGTGTTTCTATTCCATACTTACTTAACATTGTCATTGAAAATTGTAAAAGTTACCTTTCTCCTTCTTGGGAAACTAAATAATTGAAGTCAAACTTTAAAATTTCATATTTGAGAAGTCTTCCAGCTCTTACGTTAATATTTTTCTACTATAATGGAAGATGGCATTCTTCGCACTTTTGCCTTTGTGGCATAATGTATTGGTACAGGTACTATAATACTTTATTGTTAAAGTTTATTATGTGCTTAAATCATAATTTGTAAAAGGTTTTAGGTTTTCAGGACCTGCTAGTAGAGTATTTCAGCTATTTACTGTTTCCATTGAGAATTCTGTTTTCTAAGGCAGATGACTAATAATTACCTTTCATTATATGAAATCAACCATATCATACAACATTGAGGTGTGAAGGTGTTTCAGTAAGAGGTCTTTGGATCCCTGGTTCCTTCATTAAATTCATATTTTCCTGCTCTATTTTGGAATTATTCTATTATATAAGTTGACTAAATTTGAAATAATACCCTTCTGCTTTAATCTTTATAGCTAGAAATGTCTTTTGTCTGTGTTCATGACTGCAGGGTGATAATTTATATTCTGCCATACGGTTAGAATGCATATGAACAGATGGCAAATGTGATCCATTGGATATTTCAACTTTAGCATAATAACATGCTTTCATTTCTTCTTAATCTTACCTAGACTTGAAGTTAAAGATCAGATTTAAAGGAGTGACTTGTTCATATGTCAGATAGAATGCAAATATCAAAATATGACTGAGTATCTTTTGTTCAATGTGTAAAACTAAGCTGATGTCTCCTTTTTTTTTTTTTTGGCCTGTCAATCAGTTCCTGATTATTTGCCATTCAATTTCCTATTCTTGAGTAGTTGAGTCAAATTTTGGAATTGACAGTATAAACTCTGGCAATATGGTGATTCATCACTACAGCAGAGGTGTCTTCTGGACTTCAATTCCAGAATTCTGAGATTTAAAAGTCCATAGTTCCCAAGGTTGGACATCCCTGATCTGTAGAATGAAAGACTGCCTTGTCCTGTCTTACATATGATCAGAATACTCATTCCTGGTACATAGACACACTTTTAAATTTTTTATCCAACCTAATTTATAATAAATTGTTTATCTGATGCTGATAACATTAAATAGTTGTTACTTTTGAACTCTGTTTTTGCGACAACTGACTCTAGGCTTTGCTTTTTTTAAAAAAAGTGACATGTTGACTTTTTGTTACTGATTAAATCAACACTGGAAATACAAAGCAAATTACCTTTGATATTAACTCCAATTCCTGGACAAAAGCTAGCATTTAACCTAATAGCTTTTAAATTAGAATTGAACAGTTAAGAAAGTGCTGTGTTAATCTTTAAAACAATTTGGAATCAGATTACACAAATTGTTGCTTATTAGCGTGCTTCCTAACACCTTTTGGAATATAGTATTGCAATTGAAGAGTTTACTATGCATGTTTACTATAACCTGCAAAATGGAATATAAATATATATTGTGATGTACGGTCAGCCTGCCTTTCATTTATGAAAATTGATTCTTTGAGGTCTGTTTTGCAGACCGGGGTTCCCCAATCTCTGGTCCGTAGACCAGCAAACAGGCCGCAACATGCCAGAAACAGGGCCGTGCAAACAAGCGCCCCATCCATGGGATGCAGGCAGCACATGAACACTGCCCCCATTCCACAGAAAAACTTATCTCCAAACCGGTCCCCATTGCCCCAAAGGTTGGGGACCGCTGTTCTAAACTGTGTACAGTAGTGCCTAGCTCAGGAAAAGCACAGTGTGTGTGTGTGTGTGTGTCCCCGTGATAAGATTAGGAGTTTCTTTTGGATTAGGTCCTGAATTCCTTTAATCTCGATACTGCTGGATAACATATCTATCTCTGCAAGACTTAATGCAGAGCTTAACCAATATGAAAGAAACAAGAGTGCCTAAATCTTATTTCATTTTGCTAGTTAATTTTGATAAGTCAGAGAGAAGCAAGACACAGAGAATCAATTCACTGGGGTCCAGGATCCAATGGGGCTGCTGTTCTGACCCAAGCCTTGTTCAAATTAAACAAATACAAACTGTGTATAAAAGCAAAACTTTTTTTAATGTGGCACTGGGAATTCTTTGCATTCCCAACCAACGGTTATTTAAACTTAATTGTCCTAGATAAAAGCAAGCCTTTTCAAGGTTGTAAAAGGCTGCCAAGACCAGAAATCTATTTACTGATAAATATCAACCAACAAGTTTCACAAACAAACCAGAGTTCGCAGGGCTTCAACGAGGAGTCAGAGTCTAAAGAACTTCTTTGCTTCCAGCAAAGAGCATATCCCCGAGGGCTGGTTTTTATCCCTTATGGGAAGGGCCATCCCCTTCCAGCCTTACTCCCGAGTTGCCCTTGCTGCTTCAACTGCTCTCTCCATCGAGCAGCCCTGCCCACACACGTGCACTGGGCGCAGGCTCCCCAAGGTCCTCTGCTTCACTGCTGCCAGACTCCAAAAGCTCCGAAGGCAGCACCCCACTCTCCGATAGTCCTGGCCCCATCCCTGCAACCAGACACAGGACCCTCGTCCAAGTCCTCCTAGCCTCCCTGACTGGTTCCCTTTCGTCCTCGCTGTCAGAGACCTCTGCCGTCTGCACCTGCTGTTGGCAAACCACAACAGCTGCCAAGCTGGATGTGCCCAACAAACTCCTGGCTCTCTGCTATGCTACACACTGTTTAATGCTACTTTGTTCTTGCTAGGATGTATCTGGTTCATGCCAGATCTAACTCTACAGTATCCACAAACTAACTGTTTGGTTTCTACATCCCAGATATATATAGTAATGTGTTTTAGGACTAAAATTGCCTGAAGTTCCAGCCTTACAATTTGCAAAGCTAACTCAAGTTCCAAAAGCACTCCCCAACCCAGAAATTTCTTTTACATTTGAAACCTGGGAGGCGACTAGCGAGGCAAACAGCTATTTCTGAACTTAAAAGCAGATTTTAAAACCTTCGGTGCTTTTGTGTTCCCGATGACTAGCTTTGTTCATTGTGGTCAAAGTAGTCCTTGAATTACGACCACAATTGGGATTGAAATTCCATCACTAAGCGATGCGGTTGTTAAGTGAGTCTTTCAGCCCCACTCATTTCACAAGGTGGTAGTGGGCAAAATAGGAGAAAGGAATGTTAAGCGTGTTTGCTAGCTTGAGTTATTTTTTAACAAATAATAAAGGCAGGATTTTTAAAAAATCTAATGTAATTTTGGGGGAATTCTTTTAACAAGTATGGTTTTTGACATATTACTAAAAATGGTGGTCTTCCTTTTTAGATGCTATCCCCAGTGCCGATCAGATCAGAATAACTCCTTCATTAAAAAGCCAAAGAGGATCTGTATGGACGAAAAGCAAATCCATATTTGAATACTGGGAGATTGAGGTGACCTTCCGAGTGACTGGAAGAGGAAGAGTAGGAGCTGATGGATTGGTACGTTTAGTTTAGTTTATTGTTATTGCACATCGTATAACAAAATCAAACACCATCTTCAGTGCACATCATGAAAATAAGCACAAACACACATGCTTCACACTCCACACATTGAATTGAAGACTCCTGACACCACACCAACACTGCACTATACAGTAGAATTCAACAGAGCTACTGCCCTGGGATAGAAGCTGTTTTTCAGCCTATTTGTCCTTGCTTTTTTTAATTCTGTACCGTCTGCCAGATGGTAATAGTTTTTTTAAAAGGGTGCCCAGGATGAGATGGATCTTTGAGAATGTTTTGAACTTTCTTAAGGCAGCAGGAGCTATAAAGCTCTTCTAAAAAGGGGAGACGTAATACCAGCTGCAGTTTGCAAATGCTGGGTTGGAGGTTAACAAAACTGCGTTCTGAGGCCCGAGTGCTGCTCTGTGGCGGGCTGAACTCTTGTCGTCCTCTTCAGCTCCTTGGTGGGGGCAGGAAAGGAGCCTCCATGGGTCCTTGGTGATGGGCAATGGTGATGTCACCAACTAATCCTTTCAACCCAGAAGCAGGTTGGTGGGTTAAGTGGGTTAAATGGTGCCTTCCAACATGAATGGGATGGGAATGGGTCGGGCGTTTGCAAACGTGGCAGTTACATGAATTGGGAGTGCCTACAAATTGCTCAGATTTTCATGTGTCTGAACAGGCAATCTGGTATACTGATGGACAAGGATTAGACGGCCCAGTTTTTGGTGCAGCAGATAACTGGAATGGTGTTGGCATCTTCTTTGACTCCTTTGACAACGATGCAAAGGTGAGTGAAAGGACATTGAGGGATATGCTGTGGGTTGAACTTTAAATAATTTGTCTGGACCTACTTGGTTTTTCAGTCTTCATATCTTGTCCTATCTTTATGCTTATTTTTATTTCCTTCCCTCACAGAAAAACAACCCTGCAGTGATTGTTGTCGGCAATAATGGCAAGCTCCATTATGACCATCAAAAGTAGGTTGACTTTGATCTGATCTGTCTTGATTTTCCAGAAGAAAAATAATATTTATTTATTTATATTTATATTTTTATGTTTTCTTAAGTTTTTGCGGGTACTTACATGTACGGTATTCAGCTTTGTTCGGGTATTTTCCCACGTCATTATAGTTGTGCTTTTAAAGTTGTAGAAACGTTTCGGCAGAATCTCATCTGCCTTCATCAGGCTTCTGTATTGAGTTCACCTGTGAGTCAGACTTTTACAGCCTTTTCTGTTTTAAATTTGGTGCTCGCCTATGCTGTGCCAGAATGGTTTTTTCTTCATCCTGATTGGTTGGGAGTCTTGAATCAGGATGAAGAAAAAACCATTCTTCTTTTCTGACTGCGTTCTGTGTTCTGTGATGCGTGCACAAGAACACAGTCGGAAAAGAAGAAAATACTTCCTCCCTTTTCCAACACCTTAAAGCCACAGGACATGACATTAATTTTGAGGGAACCAAATTAATCTCCAATACTGAACACTTCAACAAGAGAATAATCAGGGAAGCCATCGAAATAGAGAAACACCCCCGTAACATGAATAAACGGGATGATGCCTCCCACCTACCAGACATCTGGAAACTAGCCCTCACCAACAAACGAGTCCCAGCCAATCTGCAAACATCAACTCCATCAACCAATCAAGAAATGACAACACAGTCAACCTCCCCACCAGTGTATATAGGGAGACAGCAGCTCCAATCACACTTTGCTCGCACAAGCACGGAGCCGAAAGCACCAGCCTGAAGTTGGCGAGTGGGACCTCATCAAAACGTTGCCAAGATACTCTCAATCTTACACGGGAAAAGACCCGAACACGCCAAGACCTGCATACATGTACCTGTGAAAATCTACGAAAATATATATGTGGGGGGGGGGGTATTCAGCTTTGTTCGGGTATTTTCCCTTGCTTTTCAAGGGCAGCTCCAATGTAGAGCAGATTGCAGCAGTCCTCTCATAAGGTTACCCAAGCATGAGCAATCAAATTGGCTCGAAAATACATTTCTCGGTCCCCAGGCCAAGTGGTAGAAGTTCAATGGCTAGAGCAGTTTAGATCATTTTTGTCACTTGTCTCTTAAAAGTGAAATTCTATCCCACTTTCTTATCCTTCCCATCAGATTCCTTAAAAGTCTTGGCTCATTTCTTCTTTGCCACGCTAGTCCTTGCTCTGCCATCTCCTCAGCTCATAACTTCACCACCTTCTCCTCATGTATGGTGACAATGCCAACCTTTTGCTACCCTCACCATGAACCGCCAACCTAACTAAGGACATACCTCCTGCTTGTAATCTTGCAGCTGCCTAGTTTGTTAAAGTAGAGGTCTTTTCAGAAGGTTTATCCATTGTTCCCAGGGTTTTTTATTTGTTTCATGAGCCTTCCCACATCCATTCCAGGTTCAAGACTGACATCTTAATGATGGATGTGTGCTGGCGCAGGCCACAGTAAACAATAACCATACTTCTTCTTAATCCAGGTTTAGATATTAAGTATTTCAGTCATGGGCTAAGGTGTTATTTGGTGAGATTGTAGTTTTTATTCATTGAATACAAGTAGTCCTCAATTTACAACCATTCACTAAGTGACCAATCAAAGTTACAACGCAAAAAAAAAAAACCCTGTGAAAAGTTACTTATGACTGGTCCTCACATTTATGACCATCATAGCATCCCTGGAGCCTCATAATCCAAATTCAGGTGCTTGGCAACTGGCATGTTTTTACAATGGTTGCAATGTGCCAGAGTCATCTGATCACCTTTTGTGACTTTACCAGCAGGTTCCCAACAAGCAAAATCAATGGGGTAAACCAGATTCACTTAATGACCACTGATTTCACTGAACAACCGCAGTGATTCGCTTAAAAATCATGGCAAAAAAGGGAAAAGTGGAAGTTCTGGTCCCAATCCTGGTCATAAGTCAAGGACTACTTCTAGACAGCTTCTATTTTATGTTATTCAGATGGACCGTATGTCGTGTACATGGGTCTTTAATTTTCATCTGTGGATTATCCTGACTTGCCAAATTTGTATTGATAAGATGTTTCTGTTTTAAAGTGATGGATCCACGCAAGCGTTGGCATCATGTCAAAGAGATTTTCGTAACAAGCCTTATCCCATCCGTACAAAGATTATTTACTATCAGAAGACACTATCTGTAAGTAATTCCAGCTCTTATTATATTGTCCCATATGTATATTTAATGATGTGTTTTTAAATAGGAACTCATGAGTTAAAAGTATACTTTGGAAGTGGGAAGAGAAGTGTGGCAGTCATAATGTATCACCATCGATAAGATCTTTCAGATCTTTCTCAGTCCCAAGACGCAAAGCTTGAGACCCAGAAACAGACTGTTTTGTCTTGAATATATAGAATTCTTTATTGGCCAAATGTGATTGGACACACAAGGAATTTGTCTTAGTGCAAATGCTCTTAGTATACATTAAAAAAAAAGATACATTCGTCAAGAGTCAAGAATCATCAGGTACAACACTTAATAATAGTTATAAGGTACAATAAGCAATCAAATCATACTAGGAAACAGTCAATATAGATCGTAAGGATACAAGCGACAAAGTTACAGTCATGCAACCACAAGTGGGAGGGGATGGGTGATAAGGAGTGATGAGAAGATTAACAGTAATAGTAGTGCAGACTTGTAATAGTTGAACAGTGTTGAGGGAATTATTTATTTAGCAGAGTGATGGCTTTCAGGGAAAAACTGTCCTTGTGTCTAGTTATTCTGGTGTGCAGTGCTCTATAGCATCGTTTTGAGGGAAGGAGTTGAAACAGTTTATGTCCGGGATGTGAGGAGTCTGTTTTCATAGCCCTTTTTTTGACTGGTGCAGTATACAGGTCCTTGACAGAAGGCAGGTTGGAAATAATTGTTTTTTCTGCAGTCCTAATTATCTCTGAAGTCTGTGTCTGTCCTGTTGGGTTGCAGAACCAAACCAGACAGCTATAGAGGTGCAGATAATAAGACTCAATTCCTTGGAGGACAAAAGAGATTTTTCATGGACTTTAAAATAATCATACTGGCCGAGGATGATAATTGAAAAAAGCCATTTGTCTGACATAATTTAATATTTCTACTAAAATGATTTAGGTCACAGGATTGGCAGAAAAGCCTTAGTTGTCTTATTCAACTAATGAACTACGTACAGATCAACTAGATGGACCAGTGTCTATAAAGATTCTTAGTAATTCAGGTCATGGTTGTCCCAAAAATGCTTTTCCAAAAGGAAACTGAACTTTCTTGTTTTGTTTTTTTTCCTTAAAAATGTTTCACTTCTAATCTAAAAGGTTTCTTCAGTTCATAGACCAGTCCTGTCTAACCTGCAGTCCATGGGCCACATGCAGCTCTGGATAGCTAGTAATGCGGCCCTGCATGATTGCTATTGTGACTTAGCAATAGCAATAACACTTAGATTTATATACCGCTTTACAGTGCTTTACAGCCCATTCTAAGCAATTTACAGAGTCAGCCTATTGCCCCCAACACGTTGGCTCCTCATTTTACCGATCTTGGAAGGATGGAAGGCTGAGTCAACTGTGAGCCAGCGAGAATCGAACTGCTAAACTGCAGGCAGCCGACTGGCAGCCAAAGCAGCCTGCAGTACTGCATTATAACCATTGCACCACCATGACTGTTTATATCAGAGGTCTCGTTCTCGCAGCCCGCGGGCCAATTGCGGCCCACAGGACGATATCCTGTAGCCCCCACCCTGATATGAAAGTATAATATTAGTGTATAATGTAAATATAAAGTATAATATAAAGTATAATATTATGCGGCCCAGCCTCACCCAGACTCTGCCTCCAGCGGCCCCCAGGTAAATTGTGTTTGAGACCCCTGGTTTATATACATTCACTATATTATATATTTTATGTGCCATCCAAGGCAATTCCTCTTTACTTTCTGTTTCATGTAGAGTAAGTAAGCACACTACAGGCCATCACTGTGCAGAAACCATTTTACTAGAGCAGGGGTCCCCAAACTTGGCAACTTTGTGGACTTCAGCTCCCAGAATTGCTCAGTCAGCCAGCTTTGCTGACTGGAATTCTGGGAGTTGAAGTCCACAAGACTTAAAGTTGCCAAGTTTGGAGACCTGTGTGCTAGAGAGTGAGTAATACAACAGGAATAGGAAATGCATCACAGAATCAATGGAGATGAATCCTAGAGTGGCTATGTGATACAGGAAACAACTACAATAGAGAGGAATGATAGAGCTGCATGTAAGATAGACATAACACCTGTAACGTGCAGCCCAGCCAAGCCAAAAGGTTGGGCAACCATGAGATAGATAAATGGCCTAATTCTGTATCAAGTAACGTCATCTCTGTCTTGTTTCTTCCAAGGTATTAATAAACAATGGCTTTACTCCAGACAAAGAAGACTATGAGTTTTGTGCCAAAGTTGAAAACATGGTACTGCCTCCTCAGGGCTACTTTGGCATCTCTGCAGCAACAGGTGGCCTTGCAGGTGATTTTACCATTCAGGTTACTTTTCCGCTGATTATTTTGCCCAAGAAATTTTTTCTGTCATTGGGATAGATTGAGTCAAAATGCCTGCAGACTTAATTTCTGTTTAAGAAAAACCCTGAGGCTGGTACAAAGATGATTGTCTTTCTGGATGGCAACAGAAAAATTAAATAGACTGAGTGTATGGGATCAAGCAGTGGTCCCCTTGCCACTTGTTTACGTCATGTAGAAGATGACAGACGTGTCCTTTTCAGCCACACCCTAATCTAAATTGAAGGTGTGTTTAAAGGACTGGTATTCTCAGAAAATGGGACGCCGTGGGTCAGTGGCTAAGACTCTGAGTTTGTCGATCAGAAAGGTCGGCAGTTTGGCTGTTCGAATCCCTAGCACCGCGTAACGGAGTGAGCTCCCGTTACTTGTCCTAGTTTCTGCCAACCTAGCTGTTTGAAAGCATGTAAAAAATGCATGTAGAAAAATAGGGGACACTTTGGTGGGAAGGTAACAGTGTTCCGTGCACCTTCGGCATTTAGTCATGCCAGCCACATGACCACAGAGACATCTTCGGACAGCGCTGGCTCTTTGCCTTTGTAACGGAGTTGAGCACCGCCCCCTAGAGCCGGAAACGATTAGCACGTATGTGCGAGAGGAACTTTTATCTTTATTCTCAGAAAAAGAATTCCCTTTTCTTTTCAGTGTCCATTAATCTCTCAGTCTGCTTTGAAATGTGTCCAGTTCATTGTTCCATGGATCTTATAGGAGAGGACTGGGGTATAGAGGAATGTAAGCCCAAAGCAGCAGTGGTCCCTTGGAACCCAACTATGCATTGGTATAATAACAAAGGCATTGTCTCTCAACTTTTAGTCCATTTTAAGATGTCTGGACTTCGAGTCTCAGAATTCCCCAGCCAAGGCTAAGAAACATTGAACCAAAGTGAAACATTGAACACCTCAAACGAAAAGGAAACGCCATGGCTGAAATCCAGACCATAAAGTGTTTTGGATGACCAATATTTGAAATTCACCTTTAAATTCACCTGCAGAGAACTAGAATGTGCCCTTGTGATTAAGTAATTTTTTAAAAAATTGATGTACAAGATCTGCCAAACCATTTATTGAACCTAGAATTGTAGGGAACTCCTTTGCCCCCTTCTGCTTTTTGTCCAAGGCAACCTGTGATAAATATGCACAACTGGTTTAGACATTTATCTATCTATGTATCTATCCTCAGACATAAATTTCCTCCCACATGGTTAGAAAAAGCATAGCTTACTAAAATGAGTGAGTTCATTCACATTTCCTTGCTGTTCTTCGATGTGGATCCCATCTTATTAGTCCACAGTTAATGAAAGTGTGTTGCCAGTTTTGGCCATAGACAAACATTCATACATACAACATTCCTAATGTTGTTGACCTTTGTGTGTTCCTGGCCAGATAATGTGTGAATTGAGATGTCTTTTAAATTGCTAAGTCATTCTACTGAGTTAGGATAATGTAGACTAATTCTTTTGACACATTTCTGAACCTTTTATCTAGATGACCATGATGTCTTGTCATTCCTAACATTTCAGTTGACTGAGCCTGGCAAAATGACGGTAGGTATCTTTGGGTTACATATTTGTTCTGCATGCTCACTGTGGATTTTGGAAGAAAGGGTGTTTCTGCATTTGTTTTAATGCTTGAAAATGACATTTAAGAATATGCAGAGAGAGCATTCCCAATGAAACAGGACAGTAATATGGAACTATGTTGCAAATCAACTATGTCAAAACTTTGAGTAGAGTACCGTATATACTCGAGTATAAGTCGACCCGAATATAAGCCAAGGCACCTAATTTTGCCACAAAAAACTGGGAAAACTTATTGACTCGAGTATAAGCCGAGTTTTTCAGCACATTTTTTGTGCTGAAAAAAAAACCCCTTGGCTTATACTCGAGTGAGATTCCCTCTGAAAGAAAAATAGTGTGGAGCTCCGGAGCTGGCAGCCGCTTCCGTGTTTCCTTTGCAACTTGTAAGCATGGGCGTAATCGGAAGCAGAAAAGTTCTTGCATGAGGATATATTGTTTTTTCTTTATTTAACTCTTTTTTTGGGGGGGGAAGACCCACCGTCATGTGAGAATGCTCAGACACGAAATCTATCCGCCTGAAAATAAGTGTGTGTGTGTGGGGGGATTTTAACAGAGGGAAGATATAGGGAGAAGGCAAAAGCGACAGAAGATCCTTCAGGGGAAACTGAGGGGGAGACTCACCCTTGGTCCAGATGAGCCCCCTTCCCCGCCCCTAAGGAAGCAGAGGCAGCCAGCAAGGGCAGGCAAGCCCCGCTTCGCGGACTCCATCCGTCCTCGCTCCCACCCACCCACCCAAAGCCACGAAGTCCCCCAATCGCGCAGCCCAGAATCGCCCTCCCCTCAGAGGGCAGCAACGATGCCTGGTGTTTCCTGAAACAAGAAGCACCACCATGCAATGAAAGCGCCCTGGCTCTAGGCTCAGAAAACAACGCGAGCTGAGGTGGCTTCGTTTCCTCAGCCCCAGCTGCTTTCAGTCCGCTCAGGAGGAGGAGGAGGTGGCGGCGGCTCGCGTTGTTTTCTGAGCTCTAGGCATGGCTTCGGCTCCGCTAGGCTTCATTTTCTCAGCCCCAGCTGCTTTCAGTCCGCTTGGGAGGAGGAGGAGGAGGAGGTGGTGGTGGCAGCGGCTCGCGTTGTTTTCTGAGCTCTAGGCTCGCGATCTCAGAAAACAACACGAGCCGAGGGCGATTCTTTTGGAAAACTAAACTTTTTTAAAAAAAAAAACAGGCTAATTATAGATTTGTAATGGAATTATAGATGTAGAGTATGTATATGTTTTGTGGTCTTTCCATCTATTTTAATTATGCCAGGAAAATGTGGAAGATTAGAGAGGTCAGAAACGAAAGTTAGTACTAGGAGTACTTTAACCATATTCAGGCAGTCGTCATCACACAATTATGTTCCCAGAAGGAAGGGTGTTGTGTCCTGTTGGCCGCCGGCCCCTCCAGCAACCAAATCAGATGAGGAGGAGGCGTAAGAGTCAGGGCCAACTTCAAGGCAACCTGAGAGCTCTGAGGGGGAAGAGGGAATGAAGCTGGCAGAGAGAGAGGCAGAGGCAGAGCCTCTCTTCTTGTAAAGGCAATCAGGTTGCACCTATGAGCCAGTTCAGCTTCTTCAAAGTGTTCCTTGGATGCCCCAAAATATTAACGCAAGAGTGCCTGATGCCAATAGTGCCTGTCAAATTTTAGGATGCCTTTTTACTCAGAATTGATTTCGTAGCCTCCACCAGATACAGACATTGCTGAAAAGGACAAGGAGAAATATCAAGAAGAGTTTCAGCACTTCCAGGAAGAGTTGGACAAAAGGAAAGAGGAATTTAAGAAAGAGCATCCGGACACACAAGGCCAGCCAGGTACGCAGTCAAGCGCTAGACTCGATGTAGGAAGCCAAGTCTTCATTGAAAGAATTGCTTTGCTAAATGGGCATTCTTTCTGGTTTGTTGAGAAACAAAACCAGAATGACTAGAGGAGCCTGCAGTTCTATGATTTTTTACAGGGGAATCCAGAGGGAAAAATAAAGAAACGATCTTTGCTTTGCAATGTGTTCTGTCTGCTATACGCATAAGTTCCTTTAGCATGTAGGTAAACTATACAGTAGGGCAGAGGTCCCCAAACTTGGCAACTTTAAGACTTGTGGACTTCAACTCCAACTATGCTGACTGGAGAATTCTGGGCGTTGAAATCCACAAGTCTTAAAGTTGCCAAGTTTGGGGACCTCTGCCCTACTGCATAGTTTACCTAGATGCTAAAGGAACTTATGCGTATAGCAGACAGAACGCATTGCAAAGCAAAGATCGTTTCTTTATTTTTCCCTCTGGATTCCCCTGTAAAAATCATAGAACTGCAGGCTCCTCTAGTCAGACTCCTCTGCAGTAGGGGAATTGTACCCTGCCCAAAAGCTTATTGTGGTTGTTTCCAAAACCTCTCCCTTGCCTTCTAGCATGAAGAAGAGCAAAAAGTTCCTTTTTTTCCTTAGTTTTGGGGGGCGGGTGTTTGGTTTGGAGAGGTGTGGTGTTGGAGGGGAAGGGGGTTTAAGAAATGTTATTGGGGCCTTAAAATGTGCAAAACCTTAGGACCCCTGTTTCATTCCTTTAAAATCCTTCTGACCTCCATTCTGAAAACGGATTCTGGTTTTGTCCATTTCAGGATTGTGGCCTTTAGTATGCCAAACAAAATTAGTGCAACCTTCAAACCTGCAGATATTGCGAGTTTACCTTTGCCCGTTGGTGGCTTTATTTCCTGTTTTTTAGAATACTATTTTTTATAAACCTGGTTTAAAAGATGAGAAGAGCCTGAGTTGCTTTTGGTTATAAATCGTTTCATCGGATTCCCCTTGGAAACCGCTTATGGGCTTTGTGCTTGTGGGGAGAAAAATGAAACGTTGACTTTCGATTTTGCCAATTAGATTGTTTTGATGGTATAGAAATGGCTGGTATATATTATTACACAAAAGTAAAAAGCTAAGATCTCAAATTATTACCATATTATACTGCACCAAAAGGAGCTGGAAATCGATGCCTTTTTTTCCCCCTCTGCCCTGCACTTTCTTCTCTTCCCCTTACTTTTTTCCATTACCTTTATTTTTCTTTGTACATTTTGTATTTTATATTTTGATAAACCAATACAATTTGTGAACTCAAAATAGTTCCATCAGATTCCCCCACTTTGTCCTGCAAAATCTCTCCTTGAAATTCTTCATCCACTCACTTGGATGAAAGTCCTGTTACTTCATCAAGACTCATAAATGGGATTTGCTTCAGGCACAGATATGTATAGGTCTATAATATTATGAAATATCACAAGTAGACAGTTCTTATTTAGAACTGCTCTTGTGCTTCCCTCTGGTTTGTCTGTCTTACTCAGAACATTCACATCAAAACACAGCAAGTGGTTAAGTATATGTTTAAATGCAGTTAGGTTGGAATCGTTTGACTCACCAGAATGTCTCACTTGTGTGGTTTTGTTTTAAAGTGGATGATATCTATGAGACGGTGGGTGATCGTGAGCTGAGACAGATCTTCGAAGGCCAAACTCGAATTCACCTGGAAATAAAACAGCTGAACAGGCAATTAGACATGATTCTGGATGAACAGAGAAAATACGTCTCTACGATAACAGAAGAGATTTCCAAAAGAGGGTCAAATGTCCCTAGCCATCAAGGGCAGGTATATTGTTAGTACACATGTTACGCAAAATACAATTCTGTATTTTGACAGTTTTGTCCTTTCGCTAACAGTTCTATGTTTCTTTTTTAAATTACAGGCTTCCCAGTTAGAGCTTGACAATATTGTAAAAGCTCAAGAAGAGGTTCTGAGACAAGTTGTGGAAATGAAGTAAGGATTCATGTGTGACAAACATAACATACCAGTTTATGTCCAACAGAGATTTCACATTATAAGATTGTTGTTGAGGTGTGAACTATTCCAATAAGTAGTTCTCTTTCTTTTTGCTCATTGAAATTCCACACACTCTGCTTATTTTTAGATGGTCTATCCATATACAGTTGTTTTTTTTAAATGACCCTTAGTGTTACCAATGTAGCAAATGCATTTGAGGTCCTTAATGCAGAGCTTGGGTAAACAAAGTCATATAACATTAGTGAAAGGAGATTGAGATCTTTCTGTCTCAACTAATGTGGAACTTTAGCTCGGCTGTTCCATTTCATTCGTTCTGTGGGTTCAAGAGGCAATTCAGCTCAGTTCATGTTTGACGTATGTTTATTTTAAAAGCTCAGGTGCATTAAACAGCATCTCTGATGTGAGCATTCTTGACTCTCTTTTCAGAAATTCCATGGGGGAAACTCAGCGTCTCGTCACTGGCATTCAGCACCACCCCGCTTCCTCTGGTGGGATCTACGAAACCACACAGCATTTCAACGACATTAAGGAACATCTCCATGTCGTAAAGAGGGATATTGAGCATTTAGTCCAGAGGAACATGGTATCTATTGTTATTTGCACCCTTTTGGGGGGTGTGTGAAAGGGAGGAGTGGTGTCCCCCAAAGCCAACATAATAGATGAGACTGGAAAACCCTGTCCCTGTTTAATTGCAAAGCTGTTCCACTGGTTTATTGTCCTCATTGTGAGGACGTTTCTCTTCAATCCCAAGTTGCTTCTCTCGATTAGTTTCCATCCATGGTTTCTTGTCCTGCCCTCAGGTTCTCTGAAAAATAAATTGACCCCCTTTTTGTGGCAGCCACTCAAATACTGGCATACTGCTATCATGTGCCCGCTAGTCCTTCTTTTCTCCAGACTAGCCATGTCCAAATCCTGAAACCGTTCTTCATATGTTTTAATTTGATAGATGATAAATGCTTTTGATAAATGATTTTGAGTACACTCATGGATTCGGCTTGTTGAAAAATCATCATCTTGTTTGTAATTTCAGCCATCAAATGAAAAACCCAAATGTCCAGAGTTGCCAAAATTTCCATCATGTTTATCCACAACACACTTCTTTATATTTGTAGCATTCCAGACGCTACTCTTCATTAGTTACATCATGTACAGGTAAGTGTCTACTTGGAACATACCTTGCAAACGGGGAGGAGCCTCGAGGAATAGAACTGAATGAGTGGCTCAGAAATGAACATGGGTCTGTTCTAAACAAGCCCTAAAAACGTATGAGGCACATAAAATTAAATTGTAAGAAACACAGGGAGAGATGCTGCTTATCCCTGACACCATAGGTTTTAAGATGCTGGTGCCTTGGTACAAATGCACTTTTGCCATTATGTTTGTGGAGTCTTTGCTATTCTTAGGAATTTTCAAACGTGCATTTAAAAAAAAACCCTTATAATTCACATTCTCACTGTCACATGTAACTATTTAGGATCCTTTTGGTCTTCTTTTGCTTAAGATTTAAAGTGCACTCTTGGAGTTTTGGGGAACTTAACAACAAGAACCTGTCCTCATCAAAACACTCCTTCATTGAGGAAATACTTGGTTCTCACACACTTTAGCAATAACAATAGCACTTATACTTATATACTGCTTCACAGTGCTTTTTACAGCCCTCTCTAAGCAGTTTACAGAGTTGGTAAATTGCCCTCAATAATCTGGGTCCTCATTTTACCCACCTAGGAAGGATGGAAGGCTGAGCCAATCTTGAGCCTGGTGAGATTCGAACTGCCAAATTGCAGGCAGCTAGCAGTTGGCAGAAGTAGCCTGCAGTACTGCACTCTAACCACTGTGCCACCACAGCTCTTTAGCAACCTTTTGAAATCTGCATTCCCAAGAAAAAAGGGACAGGACGGACAAGATTTTAAGCTCTTTTGCTGTCATGGAAATGCATACGTGTTGTCCTCTAATCGTTTCTCCCTCCCCTCCTTTCACTTCTTGGGTGTTAAATGTGGGGTCCAAGTTGGGAGGGGCTCATGGCTGGTGGAGAGGGTTGAACTGAGTATGCTGAAATTGGACCCAAGAGGGTCTGGGTAAAAGTCCCGGTGATGAAGCAAATCTTTCTTAGCATAGCTTTCAATATACAGTAGTATTGTTATGAGAATAAAACGGAGAGGACAAAATATTAAATAAGCCGCCTTGTGCTCCTTGAGGAAGAATTCAAGTAGAAATGTGTATTGCACGTAAAAGTGTGTGGGTCCTTGGTGCTCTCTGAGCTTGGTTGTATTTGTACACATAATTCATTACCTGAGCAGGTAACTTAATTGAGTAATAAAACGTATGCAAGATAACAACCAAGCTCTGAGGGCACCAAGGACCCCCACAATTCAACCCTCAGCTACACATATTTTCTTCTATCAGCAACTAAACGAGTCTTTGCAAACACCTGCAAGGAAAAATTAAGCACCGTCTTTTCCAATTTCTTCTGTGAGGTATTTTCCTCTTGCAACACAAAATGGACAGTGTATGTTCCTTGTCTATCTCATTGCATATGTGTCTTAAGCACCGAGGAACTTATGGGTTGAAACCATTAGCTGTTCCCCAGGGGACACCCAATTGGGGCATGGGGTGTTTCCCATTCATGTCCCCAGCAGGAGCTGGAACGAAGGACAGGAGCTCACACTTTCTACAGCAGCACTTGGGTCTCAAACATAGGCTTGCTAACCTCCAACCGAGGGTCCTACCCAGGTGAGCCACTGTGCTCCTAGCCTTCTACGTCAGTCTAATTTAATTATCGGTTTCTTACTATAAGGTATTTTGTGGGAAATAATATTGGGCTAAATAGCTCAGCTTCTGTCAGTCACTTCACTGTGATCACTGTGATCTGAAGTAATTGTTAATCTTATTTCAGTAGTTAGCCTAAGTTGGTTTGGAGACCTTGAAGCTTAAGGTGAGCTTAATTATTTCAGATTAAAGTACTAAAAAGGCCACGTTTAGCCCAAGAAGCTTAAGGTGAGGCTTCCCTGTCTCCTCCTCCAAATTCCAGAGCATTCCTGGTTCTGAAAGACAGGTTATCGAGACCGACAAAAAGCTTTCTAAAGTGAATTGAGCTAATGGATTTATCTTTCTGTTGTGTCTGCAGGAGTCAGCAGGAAGCAGCAGCAAAGAAATTCTTTTGATGGCCTCTCTGTTGTGCATGGAAAGCATTGCACTAGTTGGAGAAGAGGGCAGGAATCCTTTAGTGTTGAAAATGCTTCAATATTTTAAATTATTGAGTTCTTTCTTAAGTACACCGAATAATGGATTGCGATGTTATAAAATGGACCAATTCCAAGGCAGAAAAGAGATAAATTCTGCCTTTGAGCATCCAGGAGAGATGGGTGGATGGAAAATACCTTTACTTCATTGTCAAAATATATCCCAAGTAAGGTCTTGGCACAAAAGTATTTCTCACACTTGTTTTTACATCCTTATTTGGGGAGATCATGGAAGGCAGAAAGACAAGCTGTATAATACTTGTTGTGTGTCTCAGGAAGAAAGGCAGGCAGGCAAGCTTTCTGAAACTGCATCCCCTTTTAGAGCTATAAGATTGCAGAGAATTTTTTTTTTTTCAGTGTAACCTTGTGGGCAGCATTAGATGAGCAGAGTTAGATATTGCCAATTCAACTTTTAAAAGATAGACTTGTGGAAACAGTGACAAGCGGGGTTCAGTTTATAGAACAGTTCAGTTCTTAATGGTGCCATTTTTCTGTGTAGGAAAAGGTAGGTGGGAAGAGGCTCTTTTTAGCATGTTTTGATACAGTTGTTTGTATTCGTTGTATTCACATCGATCATAACTTTTGTAAAAGGGTTTTTTAATGCCTCTTCAACGAAGAGATCCTAGCTTGCATGGTCTTGAAAGTCATCTGACTTGGGAGAATATGGGACAGCGGTGATCTTCAAAACGTTATCATTAAATGTTAAAATTCAAACTGAACTTGGTCCTCTCCAAAGCCAGGAGTATTGTGAATAGATCCTGATGGCATTGTTTAAAAAAAAAATTCAGGCTTTTTCTCCTCTTTTTGCTGAACCGGTATTGTTCTTCATCTTCAAGTATTCTTAAGTCTTAGCCACTTGTTATGTAATCCTTCTTAAGTCAGTTCCAGAACAGCAAATGTGATTTTACTCTGCCCTGCGTCTTGCCTGTATAGTATTAACTTGAAGCTTCATTTTTTACACATGTAGAAATTCCAGTAGAACAGCTTTCTCATATCGTCAAGTGCTCAAATTCCTCTGAACTTAAAATATTATAAGACAAGCAATGTTCAATTTAATCCAGTATTACATATTTTGAAGGCATTGTTTGCAGTTTTGAGAAACACAACAATTCTATGCAATTCTCTCCCTTTAAAGATATTGGCAATGTTATATTAGGTTTTAGAAATCAGATGTTTTCCACCAAGTTTTGAAAAAAACACAGTTGCCAAATACCTTCCTACAACTCACAATTGAAGACAAATAAGCAGACTTATTTTTCTCAACGCAAATCACTCAAAAGATGATCCATTCTGTTTCACACCAGCAAATGTTTTTACAGGTGCCTTGGGCAAATTAAAACCAAATGTATGTTGTAAAAATGACCTACGAAATCAAAGGGTTTGTGCGATTTGAGTTTTCATTAAAGAAGACGCTGCTTTTATGCAGAAAAAAGTGGCTTCTGTTGCATTATTTTTCTTTGGAAAACGCTTGGGTCATGATAAATATCTTGTAGATAAATGTCTATGTTTTCTTTTTGACATAATGTGAATCTACCCAGCTGAGAATTAAAATATTGAAGCAATCGGTGGTATTGTATCTTGTGTTCAGAGGGTAAAATACAGTAATGTTGTACTCAAGAGCATTGTTAGACTGGAATTCATATCCCGACAATAATTAGCAAGTGGACAGATTTCAATATAAGATCCCTCATGTCCTAACCAATACATGAAATGCACATAATTGTGAAAGGTTACTACTCCATACTTGCATTTTCCATATAGTTCCATGTGGCATATAATGAAACATTTCTAGTCTCATTTTGAATATTGGTAGGAACACAATGCACATTTTATGACCTGCCTGTATTTTTAAGGGTAGCAGCAGTGAAATTATTTTACAAGCCCATCGTGAATAATGATAGAAGAGAGGCAGTTTGGGATAGAGATAAGGCATCAGGCTAGAATCCAGGAGGCTGTGAGTTTCAGTCTCTCCTTGGGTACTGAGCCAGTTGGGTGATTTTGCGCCAGTGATCCTCACCACTAGGAAGGATGAGGCAATGGCAAACCACTTCTGAAAAATCTTGCCAAGAAAACTGCAGGGGTTTGTCCAATCCAGGCAGTTGTCAGGAACCGGGACAACCCAAAAGTGTCTGCATGCAACACACATCACACACAGTGCCAATAATTGCAGAATTCTCTCTTAACTGGAAGTACAATTCATCTGCTGCTGAGGTGCAGTTTTTCATAGAAACTTTGGAAATGTAGTTGCCAATTCTTGTATATTTTTGAAGAGCACTGTTCTGTTTGTATGTTGAAAATACATTGAGGCTTTAGAAAGATGCAGAAAAGAGCAAGAAAGATGATCAGGGGACTAAAAGCTTTAATATGAAGAATGTTTGCAGGAACTGGGTATGCTGGTTTCATGAAAAGGACTAGGAGTGACTTGATAGCAGTCTTCCAGTATCTAAGGTGCTGCCACAAATAACAGAAAGTCAGTCTATTCTCCAAAGCAGGGGTCGCCAACCTTTTGGACCTCAGGGACCACCAAACTCATAATTTTAAATCCCGGGGGCCTCTAATATGAATTTTAACTGATGGTGGCTTGCTAAAGTTGGTGGGAGAGAGAGATCTGATCTAACTTCTCCCTCCGTCCCTCTCTCTCACACACACACAAACACGCACACATACAGTGGGATTCAAATTTCTTAACCAGTTTTGTGGGTGTGGCCTAATTTGTGGGTGTGGTTTGGTCATGTGACTGGCTGGGCATGGCTTGTATGTAGATATAAATATTTATATAAATATTGAATTTTTTATAAAAAAGAGCAACTTTACCCCAAATCAGGCAAAGCAGGTAGGCAAATTGAGTTGCTCACAGAATCACAGATTCATTCAGAGATCTATCATTCTGCCATCGGCTACCTGCACTGAATAATAGAAGTTTCAGTTGTAAGGAAGGTTCAGAGCCAAAGATCTAAAGATTATCTAGAAAGCAAGAAATCCAATGGTTTCCTGCTTTCTAGCTAATGGCACAGCAGAACAGCTGATGGTCGGAAAAAGGAAAAATAGCAATTTAGCAGGCAAGTTTGCCGGGTAAGGAGTGAGTGGGCGGGAAGGGTTCCCAAGGGGCATGTGGGCAGCACAGCCTTGTGTTCCTGTGCAGTCTGGATTAATTGCTTTGTGGGGGGTGCTCTGGGGGTGAGATTTCTCTGCGGACCACCAAAATTTTCTTGCAGACCACCAGTGGGCCGTGGACCACCGGTTGGCGACCACTGCTCCAAAGCCCCTGAAGGCAGAACAAGAAGCAATGGATGGAAACTAATCAAGGAGAAAATTAACCTAGAACTGAGGAGAAATGTTCTGATAATTACAACAATCAGTGCAGCAGATTGATTCCAGAAGGTATGGGTGCTCCAATACTAGAGCTCTCTAAGAAGAGATTGAGAGCCACTTGTCTGAAACAGCATAGGGTCTCCTGCTTGAGCAGGGGGTTGGATTAGAAGACAACAATAACAGAGTTGGAAGGGACCTTGGAGGTCTTCTAGTCCAACCCCCTGCTCAAGCCTCCAACGTCCCTTCCAACTCTTATTCTATTGTTTTTGGTGGTTTTTATAATTTTGCAATGGCACGTGCTGATGACGAAAGGAAGACCACTACTAACTTACTCTTTAGATTATTCTTTGTCTCATTTTTAATCCGCTTCCTAAAAATTAGAAGATGGTAACGTTCTACCAAGATCCTGAAAAATTTCCAACTGAGATTTGATTTCTTTAGGCTGAGGATTTCTACATATGAAGCTTCTTTGCTGGCATGTGATATGTCTAGCTGAGGGGCAACTTAGATCGCCTCAATTAAAAATAATGGCAAGTTGATATGCTGCAAAAGTGCCAACTTTCATCTTTTAATGAAAAGAATGCTTCTGGGTTCCTGTATTAGTAGAAAGTAAAAATATATGAATCGCTTACAGTACATCAAATGCTTTGCCTAGAAATATGTCCACTTCCTTCCTCCTTACCTCAAAGTATCCTTAGAAGTGAACCGGGACAATTTTATCAGTGTGCCACCCAATAAATAGATATTTTGTGATTGACTGCCCTCCAGCATTAGGTACAGGTGCCAGGTGGGCATATGTTGTGTTCTCAAAATTCCAAAGGTATTTTTTTGGTCCAGAAAAGTTAGCTACTTTTGCTCAATGTGAGAATGTTGGTAGAACTTAAGAGGTGATTCCTTTTTTTTAAGCACATAAACATCCAGTCCAATAAGGCAGACTCAGAGCCGCTGAGTCTTGTTTCCAAACGAAAGACCTCTCCTGCTAATAAACAAATTGTTATGCTAAGGAGTAGATTTGTTTTAATTCTGTACTGAAGTGGAATTAAAAGGATCAGCCAACGGTGACTTCCTCTGTGTGGCCTATTGTAATGGTCAGCCATAGGAAACTCACTAAATATAGAAGTAATTCAGATAGTTAACTTACATTCAATTGAATAGTACATTACTATCTGGGCCATACTGCTGTTTGAATTAAGAGAGTTGTGGCCACCATTTTTTCTGACACAGTGCTCTCGATGCTATATTTGTTCTGTACATACCCTGCTTTCAATTAACTTTTGATTTGATTGAAATCAGTTTCATTTCTCTATTTCCAACTACAAATTGAAAATACCTGTGTATGATAATTTGTCTCATATTTCTCTCCTGTGATGCCTTACCTTGAACCCATCTGCGTTAGCTGTGCTGCTATGCCATGATTATGGAAGATGTACCATTGTTTTGATCACCTAGTCCTCAAGGTTTGCACAAGATCCCAGACTAAATAAACCACACCCATCCATTTAACAGTGTAGGTTAACATAGGATTGGCTAGCTTGTGGCTCAATAGGTCTCAAGAACACAGCCATTTGATTTTGATGGGATAAAGGGTACTCTTGATTTGACCTGGAAAATAACAGTAACCTGGAAGTGATTGCAGTAAAAACCCCAGGGAGATTCATAGCTGTCAATAACAAATCACTAAAATGTGCTAAATCTGTAGAGACTATACAACTGTAGAGAGATACAGAATCTTGTTCTAGCATAAATTTATAACCACCAGTCAAACCACTTAGTCTGGAAGACATATATTGGAGGGACATCTTACTGCCAGTGGATAAAATATCCATGAATAAAAGGATTGGTTCTCATTTAAAGAAAAATCTTGCTGCTCCCTCCACAACCATTCCAATCTCTTTGATCTTTTTAACCTGATTTATCGTTGCCCCGTTTCACAAAATTCACATCATCAACCACATCCATCCATTAGAATTCAAACAATGGAGCCATTAATCGTTTATTTTATGCCTGAATGTATGCGAACAAAGGAAAAAACAAATGAGATCTCTCTATTTCTCATCTCTCTTTCCTCTCCATCTCTGGCCCATTCACCCCTCCACATCCCTTGAAAGAATAAAAATTAGCTTAAGGTATTAATACAAAAAGTAAATACAAAATCTAATGATGGTTCTTCCCCCCACCCCCTTTGGTAATCTGAACCATCTGCCTCGGGCCACTAAGGAGTACACTGCCTTAATCCAGATTAGAGTTGACGAACTGTTTCTGGCATAGAGTTTTCCCTAATACCGTGCCCTAGAAGAGCTGTTCTTCGGGGCTGTTGAAATTTCATTTTGTTGATTGGTTCATTCTTTTTCCCTTCGGGCTGTGGGTTTCCTGGTGGCATTTGTTTTTCTCTCCCACTTGGCAAGGTGAAAAGAAAAAGGGGAGAACATGGCTTTCCTCGTGAAAAGTATGTTGAGTGACCAGGTGAAAAATCTGGGGTTTTCTGGAGGGGGTGAAGAAAAGACAGAGGAAGCGTCCCCTGCTGACCCAGCCGCGGCAGCAGGAATGACCCGGGAAGAATATGAGGAATATCAAAAGCAGGTGATAGAAGAGAAGTAAGTGCACCTTCCTACGTTTTCCGTCTGTAAACTGATTTAGATTGTTTAAATTCACAAGACCAGAGATTCAGGCAGGTAGATGCTTTAATGCCTGTGGGTTAAGGCTGTACCGCTACTTATTCTCCAGAAGCATTTCTAATTTTCCATCATAAATTTCCATGGAAATGGGACCCTTTTCTTTGAATGTTCCTCATCTTCCAGATTTCTAGGTTGGGAAAAGGGAAATGCTTAATACACCCAAGATATTTCCTGAATATCTTTAGTTACAAACTTGTTTGTGTATGGAATTTCACAGGTTTCCCTCCTGCAGATCTGAATCAAATACTTTTCAGAATTTTTCTTTTCCTGCATTGATTGGGATTTTTAAAGTTTGTTTTCTGTAAGCTAGTTAAATCCAGTAAAATTAGATCTAGTCTATTTTAAAACATGCATAAAGAAACGGCAAAGGTAACATGCATTTGCCTCTGAAAGTCTAAAAGTACTGTGCTCTTCTTAAAAAATACTTTTACTCTGATGTTTATATAATGAGATGGGAAACTATGAAATCAACATTTTAAATATCAATTAGCATTTTTAGAAAATGTGTAATATTAGTACTATACTACCGTAGTAGTAATATTAGTATTAGTACTCGACCAGCAAAGCCATAGGA